AACCCGCTAGGCCCGCGAAGCCCACGAGCCCGGCCCGTTAAGCACAGGACCATGTGGGCTTAGGCCCGTCACGGGCCGGTTCCACCCATTAGGCCCACGAAGACCGGGACCGCCAGGCCCGGGACCGCCAGAGCCCGGGACCACGAAGCCCGGGACCGCGAGGCCCGGCCCGTTAGGCCCACTAAGGCCCGGGCCCGGGACAAAATACAGCCCTAGTGTTACGTTACTAGAAGTAATGATTTACACTTAAATGATCCGTAAATGAGCCAAGATAGAATAGTTCAAATATGCCATCTACTAACTTAGTTCACATAGGACATGACCGAATAATCTTATTAGACCTCTCAGTATATCCTCTATGTGTGAACTATTCATATTGTATCTGCCGCTATCTAGATAGAAAATATGAACTTCAGGGATTAAAAGCAACAAACCAGCTCCCCATCAATTTAATGATCTAAAGTTGATCTTTCTCAAGGTGTTAAGAAAACTTCTTTCCCAAACCACTACGACATGCTATCACAATGCGGACCCAACTATCTATGAATTAAGGCCCAGTTGATTGATTGTGGTGTGAGTATATATACAAATTTGAGAAAAGTGACTTTAACAGTCAACTTTTTTGCACTAGGGCTTTCGCCCGTTGTTTCTTGGATTCACTTTCCAAGTATTAGTAAAGAATGAGAAGGAAACCTGAAAGTCCTCGTGTGTCACGAACACTGCTGCTTGATGAATCTTGGGGCATTTTTACCTGCGGAAGATTTCAGGCAGAAACAAAAATTAAACTTTTAAGAATCAGTTTGACATAATAGCAATAATAATAATGGAGGACTAGCTCAGGCAAACAGAACCATGTCATTTCAGTTCAAGTCACCTCTATCGAAAGGGTCTTCTCTTCATAACAAACTTTGATGTGCCCACTGATCCCTTTCTTACCCAAGTGGCCATTAAATCTAACGCAAAATTAGCAAACAAGAAATTTGAGATATGAAGGGACTACCAATGAAGAATCGTAAATAAGATGGATAAGTAAATGATAGAGATCTTACTGCCATGTTAATTGGCGCTTCAAGAGAGTTGCATTTCTTTGGAATTTACTCCATCGTAGCTCGAGGGCTTTATGGCATGCCTGACAATACATTTAGGAAGGTTTCTATTAGATAACGCTTACAAAACAGAAAGTCAAGACACAAGATGGATTATATTAGCACAAAGCAAGCGGGTAAAAGAACGTCAAATGAAAATGAGTACCAATATTGGACGAAGCAATAAGAAAGGTAAGTATTAAGAAGAAACGTCAGTGATTTGATATATAGCATGATTCCCCTTGTGTCATGAATACTGGCTGAATTGCTACTACTAAACTAACAACTATGACATCTATCTTAAGGAGTTATTGCCTAACCAACTCTGCTGTGAGCCAGAAACTTAAGTAAAATTGGAGGTCAAGAGACTTTATATTAAGATGGTGAGCTTTCTAGTCATTTCAATTAACTCAAAGATAAGCTGCGAATTCAATGTACAATTTTCATTAATCAATCTTGAACAATCACTTAGTAGGTAATCAAATAGCAAGTATCTAGAAATAGCAGCGTATAATCTATACAAGACCCCAACGATTATCTGTTTACAGCACTCAAGTATAAAAGCAGAAAACATCAAAACAAAGATAAATGCAATTCAAAATCAGTAAGAATTGAGACTTGACCTATGGGATACCACTCAACTGTATGGGGGAAAAACATACAACCTGTAGAGGTCCTTTGGTTGGAAGAATTAGGAAAAATAAGGCATATATCAACCCCTGAACTTGGCACTG